ATGATAATAAATTTCATTTTGCAAGACTTCTCTTAATATTTTTAATTAAAAAAATTAATTGAAACCTTTAATTTTTTTTAAAAAAATGTATCATGTAATTTTAGTGTATTTTCAAGATTAATAAAATATCTTTTCAGATTAGGATCATCTAATGACTTTAAAAAATTTATATCAAATAAGAAGTTAAAATATTTTCATATAGTTGAAATTGTTCAAATCTATTTTTAAGTGAAGAAATTGGTTTTTTTATAATATAGTAAAAGTAATCAATTCTAAAAGAACTTTCGGGTGATCGTATTTCTTCAATATCAATTCTCATCCAATTATTATCTTTTTCGAATCATTATTTTTTTACGAAATATTGGTTGTATTTTCATATCAGTTGCAATTTCCTTAGCTAAAATCACAGCAGTTGTGAATCCATTTTCTTTGTATTTTTCTAAAAATTACATTAAACATTTGAAGTGATCTAAAACAACACCAATATGCATATCTTTATGTCTTAAGACTTTACCCACTTAATTTATAGCAAATAAAATATCATATGATATAGTCATGTCCAACAAGAATTCAAAATTTTCAAATTCATACGTAGCTAAACAATTAGGTTCAGTTTTCATTTTCACCTTAGGATCTCCACTATTTTCTCCTAATTTCAATAAAGCTTCCCTTATTTGAGGGGCTTGAAATCATATTGCTTTAACACTTCCAATTCGACTTTTCCATCGTATTTCTGACAATGGTTTGAAAGTCAAGTTGGTTATATGATTAAGAGTTTCCATCGTTTTATAGATGAGTAAAATAATGAATAAATGCGTTGAACAACTAGAAAATAAAGAATAAATACGTTGCACAACTCAAAAAAATGTCATAGCTCTAAGACATGAGCTAACCACATTAAATAATACTAGATTGAGATTATGAAAACTACAAGATGTATATAATAATGCCTGAGGATTTATTTTCAATAATATTTTTTGTACACCTTTTTGTTTTCCTTTCATATTAGATCCATTGTCATATCTTCGTCCTCTTATAGTAGATACATCAAGTTTAAGATCTTTAATTGTTTTTATAAGCACATCAAATAAACTTTTTCCAGTATTATCTTCAACTTTTAAAAATTATAGAAAATATTCTTCTATTTTTATTGGACTTGTTTAAGTATCAACACACCTCAATATAAGAGACATTTGTTCTTGATGACTTACATCAGGTGTGCAATCTAATATAATCGAAAAATATTCTGCTTCTTTCATTTTTTCAATAATTATATATTTTTATTTAAAGTCCTAATAGTTGTATCAGTTCATTTTGTATATTATGTCCAAGATAATGATAATGAATTTCTTTATTTTGAATACGACGACCATGTTGTTACATTATTGGATGATATTCTACAATCATTTCAATTAAGCTTAAAAAATTTACATTATTTTCTTCATAAATTTTTTCATTACTTCCTTGAAACACTAAATTATTTTTAGCAATATTTTTAGCAGCAACAATAATTCGTGTTAATACATTATTCAATTATTTTTATCTTTATTAATTAATATTTAAAGAATTTGTCAATTGTTTTATTTTTTAACAATCTAATTTTTAAATCAACCCAAATATTCATATTAAATGTGTTCAATACCAGATTCATGACTTTAAGCCTACAACTACGATTTTTCCCATCTTTAACTCCTTCATTACCTAATTGAACTATATTAGATTTAGTATCAAATAACTTAGGACAAAAACAAAAAACTTTATCAAAATCCTTTGAGTAAACTAGCCAATTTCTATCATGTCTTTCACTGTTAGATAATTTTCTAATATAATGAATATTAGAAAAATGTCTATAATTTTCATCTTTCGAAAAAATTAAATTACTTTCTCTATTTTTTGGGACACTTTTCTATCAATAAATCGATTAATTTAGAATCAATATTTTCACATCTTCTTGGATCACATATATTATATTCATAATGCATCATGCATGTCTCAATATTATTACTAATATCATCAATGATTTAGTATCAAATAACTTACCACAAAAACAAAAAACTTTATCAAAATCCTTTGAATAAACTACCCAATTTCTATCATATCTTTCACTGTTAGATAATTTTCTAATATAATGAATATTAGAAAAATGTCTAGAATTTTCATCGTTCGAAAAAATTAAATTACTTTCTCTATTTTTTGGGACATTTTTCTACCAATAAATCCATTAATTTAGAATCAATATTTGCACATCTTCCTGGATCACATATATTATATTCATAATGCATCCTGCATATCTCATTATTATTACTAATATCATCAATGATTTAGTATCAAATAACTTAGGACAAAAACAAAAAACTTTATCAAAATCCTTTGAATAAACTACCCAATTTCTATCATGTCTTTCACGGTTAGATAATTTTCTAATATAATGAATATTAGAAAAATGTCTAGAATTTTCATCTTTCGAAAAAAATTAAATTACTTTCTCTATTTTTTGGGACATTTTTCTACCAATAAATCCATTAATTTAGAATCAATATTTTCACATCTTTCTCGATCACATATATTATATTCATAATGCATCGTGCATGTCTCATTATTATTACTAATATCATCAATTTTTTTTTTCACTTTCACATTGGGCAATCAACAATGTGAAATAATTTTTAAAAAAAAGTAAAAGAATTTTAACGAAAAACCTGGAACTTTGAAGCCGCTAGGTTGAGTTGAGGAAATATGAAGCTTCCATTTCCGCCTAGCAATTGATAATCTTGTGAGACGATCACGATCAAACTTTGAGGTTGGAGAGAGATAGAGAGTGAGAGAGGCAGAAATTACTGATCGAGAGAGAGGAGGAAAGTTTAAGTTAAAATTAGTGTAGCCTACATAATATATTTATCAAGTTCTTTAGAGAAGTTGAAAAGTTTTGTTCTGAAAAACAAATAAAAAGATAAAAAAAAAATATGGAAGGTCTCCCACCCTCCTTCAAATATAAACTTGGAGAATTTTGAGGAGATTATATTAATGGGTTGAGATTTGTAAGAACATTTAAAAGGAATATGATTAAAAAGATTAAGGTTACAAATTTGAAATGTAAGCCAACTGTTTAGTCGTCGGTCCCCAAAAGACACGTCATTCAAGTTATCTAATCACAAGGGTGAGCGTCCTATAGAAGTAAGATGTCAAGGTCGGAACACTGCCAAACTGGGCATTTTCAGTCGAACTAAAAGTCAAGCAGAGCGGCTACCCCGCTCCCACGACGACACACTTCAACTGCTTCCTCCCATAACGCACGATTCCCTATTCTTACGGAGTGGGAATCGCGTCATTCAAACGAGTATGCCACCCCTACACAACGGTTACTTTTCCTTGTCTCCTTATAAGTACCCCAGAAATCAACGAAGGGGGTATGCGAAAACAGACTGATAATTTACTTATTATTATTTTTCATTTGGCAGACAGACTAACTAGACTGTCGGAGTGCTAACTTGTTTTTGCAGGTTTCAATCCACGAGTGTTCACAGCATAGTCGCTAGCATCGCACATTAATTCAAAAGGTTGGTTCTAGTCTGGAGCTGTCGTTATGGGAGCATGGGTGAGAGCATACTTCAGTGTATCGAACGCCTGCAAACAGTCAGATGTGAAATTAAATTCTTTATCAATCTCAAGCAAAGAACAAATAAGTTTAGAGATTTTCGAAAAGTCCTTTATGAATCTGTGAAAAAAACGGGCATGCCCCAAGAAACTGTGGATGCCCTTCACATTCACAGGTGGGGGCAATTTCTCTATTACTTTAATTTTTGCTTTGTCCACTTCTATGCCCTTTTTGGAGACTCTGTGCCCTAACACAATTCCTTCTTGCACCATAAAGTGACACTTCTCCCAATTCAGGACTAAGTTTGTTTCTTCACATCTTTGCAGCACTCTCTTCAAATTATCCAAACATTCTGAAAATGACTTTCCAAAGACTGAAAAATCATCTATAAACACAGGTCAGAAAAGATGGCCATCATGCACCTCTGAAACGTTGTTGGGGCATTACAAAGCCCGAATGGGATTCGCCTGAAAGCGAACGTTCTGTAGGGACAAGTAAAAGTTGTTTTTTATTGGTCTTGATGAGCGATTGTAATATGATTATAACCACTGTAGCCATCTAAAAAACAGTAGTACTCCTGACCTGTCAGCCTGTCCAGCATTTGGTCGATGAAGGGGAGAGGAAAGTGGTCCTTCTTTGTGGCTTTCTTCAACTTGCGATAGTCCATACATATACGCCATCCAGATACTGTGTTCATGGGTATCAACTCACTATTTGCATTCTCCACTACAGTCATACCTCTTTTCTTGGGCACACAATGCACTGGACTTACCCACTCGCTATTTGAGATCGGATATATGATCCCTGCATCCAACCACTTAATAATTTCTTTCTTTACCACCTCCTTCATAGCCGGATTGAGTCTACGCTGGGGCTCTATAGAGTTCTTGCAATCCTCCTCTAGTACTATCTTATGCATACAGAAGTTTGGGCTTATCCCCTTGATATCCGCAATATTCCATCCAATTGCTCTCTGATGTGCCTTGAGTATATTCAACAACATTTGTTCATTTTCTAAGGGTAAGTCCGCTGCTATGATGATTGGCAATGTCTCTGATAAACCCAGGTAAGCATATTTCAGATGTTGTGGCAATGCTTTAAGCTCCAACACTGGCGGATCTTCAATAGATGGCTTTGGTAATCTAAGCTCCGAGTTTGTGACGTCTAGGAACTTATACATTCTTTTCACAAATCCTTTGTTAGTGTTCATGTATTCTGATTGGACATCTTCTAGCTCCTCTTCAAACGCGTCAGCAACACTTTCGGCGTCAATTGCTTCTAGGTGCTCAAACATGACTTCTGTTTCCAGCTCCTCCATTAATGCTTCATCCAATATCTTTATTACTGAGCACTCTTCTGATTCAGCAGGAAATTTCATGGAGTCATGTACCGAGAATTTCACTTCTTAATCCTGTACACGCATTGTGAGCTCACCTTTGTGGACATCTACCAAAGCTCTCCCAGTTGCAAGGAATGGTCTTCCAAGAATAATAGGAACCTCCTTATCTGCATCATAATCCAAAATAATGAAGTCCGCAGGGAAAAAAAATTTATCTACTATTACCAAAACGTCTTCAATTTTTCCCTCTGGATGCGTAATGGATCGATCTGCTAGCTGCAATGTCACTATTGTGGGCCTTGCTTCTCCAATACCCAACTTGTTGTAAATTGATAACGGCATGAGATTGATGTTGGCGCCCAGATCACATAAGGCAAGCCCTATCTATTGTCCTCCAATTGAAACTAGTATGGTGAAACTTCCAGGATCTTTCATCTTTGTTTGAATTTTGCTCGTGAGTATGGTGCTGCAAGCCTTAGTCATTTCTACCGTATCATACTCTCCCAGCGTTCTCTTCTTTATGAGTATCTCTTTCAGGAACCTCACATAATTCGGCATTTGCTCTAAAGCTTCCACCAACGGTATGTTCACGTGCAGTTGCTTCAAGACATCTAAAAACTTATTGAATTGAACGTTTCGCTCCTTCTTCTGCAACCGTTTAGGATATGGTGGCGCTGGACTATACTCTGCTGGAGCATTTTCATGCTCTGCCTGCTTTCTTTTCTCGGGCACTCTAATCTGTGTCGACCCTGTCCAAGTGTTTTAGTAATTACTGGATTAATTGGTTGATTGGATGTGTTCTGACCCTCCTTTGGTTGTTCAGCTGTCTGCTCTGGTGGAGTAGGCACGACTACTTCTGCTGGCTCACTGTCCTGTTCTGATTGAGTTTCTCCTTGGTCAGCTTGAGTATATTTCTTGATCGATGCTGGAGCATTCGGGTGCACCGGAGGTAATGCTTTCCCACTTCACAAAGTGAGGACCTTGCATTGTTCCTTATCATCTCTTTTTGGCACTTATGTATCGCTAGGTAATGCTCCAACCGGTTTGCTCTTCAAATCCGTAGCTAATTGGCCTACTTGTAATTTTAAATTCCTTAATGATGTAGCTTGGCTTTGCACAGTGGCATCATTATTGGCCATGTATTGCTTCATCAGCTTTTCCAAAGATGCAATTGATCCTTCTGATTGCCTTCGTGCTACCATTTGTCCTTGATTCACAAAACCAGGAGGATAACTTACCTTATGCTGAAATGCTGGAGCACTAGATGTTCCCGCATTGTGTCCTCCTTGATCACCACTCCAACTAAAATTGGGGTGATTCCTCCAGCCAGGATTGTACGTATTCGAATACAGATTGTTTCTATTATTCTGCGGGTTCCCCAAATAATAAACTGACTCCGGATTTCCAGGGCAGTTATTGTAGTGGTGATCTCCCTCGCAAAAAGAACATGAAATCCCTTGAATTTGGTTGACATTAGCCGTACCAGTTAATGCTCCAACTGAACTTTGCTGCATCATACTTCTCATTACCAAGACCGTCAGATTCTCAATGTTTGAATTCAATGTAGTGTATGATTCTGACTCAACTAGCCCCTTACTTGATTTTCCTTGAACAGCTCTGGGATCAGGCTATGAGTGATTGTTTGATGATATTCTTTTCAAAATATTGAATGCTTCAGCTTAGGGTTTTGCTAGCAATGCCCCATTTGTAATGCATCAATTACTAGGCGTGTGGCATCATTCAGATCTTTGTAATATGTCTCTATCTGTATGCACCTTGGGATCCCATGGTGAGGACAGCTCTGCAATAATCGTTTGAAACACTCCCAGGATTCACTGACTGATTCCCCAGCAAATTGTTGAAAATTGTTGATCTCACTGCGATACTTAGCATTTTTGCTGGGTGGGAAGTATTTCATCAAGAACTTCTCGGCCAAATCATCCCAACTTGTAATAGACTCTAAGGGAAGGGACTCCAACCATGTTCTGGCTTCATCTCTAAGTGAATATGGAAATAGCTTAAGCCTCAGCACTTCATTGCTCAATCCTTCGTTTTTGAATGAATTGCAAACTCCCATAAAGAATTTCAGATGCTGATGTGGGTCCTCCGTTGCATGTCCATGAAATTGATCCACTGTCTGGAGCATCTGAAACATCGTTGGTTTCAGCTCAAATTTGGACGCTTCAATTTCTGGCTCTGTGATAACTTGGTTGAAGTTGTAAAATGCTGGAGCTGCATATTCTGTCCATGTTGGCTGCCACTTGTTGTCACAGTAGGGTAAGCAACAACAGGAACCTCATCTACTATTTCATCTATTCTCACATTTGGTCTTATAGGCGCATTAAACTGAACTGGCTGATTTATTCTGTCCAGGTTGGCTGCCACTTGTTGTCGACTCTACTCTCATATATTTTTGTGGAAGGTGCGCTATATTTCGTGATCAATAATATATTCTAATCCTTTGTAATCGTTCATGCACCTCACAAAAACACACATCAAAATATAAATGTGAAAACAAGAAAAGTCACTTCAGCACCGTATCTACAAATATCAATGTTGAAATAAAATCACAAAAATCCCCGACAATGGCGCCAAAAACTTGTTGTGTCCACACAACTATGTTGACAGCACGTGCAAGTATACATGATTCGTCGGTTGTAGTACGTACGAGGTCGTATCCACATGGATTTTTGGTTGTATTTTAATGATAAAAACATATACCAACAAATAAAAATATACAAAGATTGGGTATGGATATTGTCTACAAATAATAAAATAAAGTAATAACAAGACGACATAAACTTGCAAGAGACAATAGTTTTGAAGCTGTCAACACAAGAAAGTAGTAGCACAGAAAGCGATAATGGGGGAATAACAGATATGGAAAAGGCGAGGGATATTTAGCATAATTTCACAGATCAACCAACCCTCTAGCATAACTAACATCTATTAGTGCCCAGCTTGACTCAGTTCCCTTCCGAGACATCCCAAACATGAGTAAGTACAACTCTCATTGCTAAATACCCAAGCAATAAACCCAAGCTATAGGCATGATTAGGTGACCTCATTCCTGAGTATCCCTATAGCTATAGAAAAGCGTTAATCACAAGCAAAATAAATCAGCACCCATAAGCCCTTCCGGGTCAATACATAAGCTAGCATACACGAAACAACGACCAACAGTAACGCAAAGATTAAGAAATAAAATCAGATTTGCTTAAAAATAAATGTAGCAGCTAGAGGTTTGGTCTCAAGTCAGTTACAGCATGTAAATCTCCCACAAAATGGGGTTTAGCTCATAATGGGTAAAGAAAAGAAAATGGAAGAAGAAGAAATACAACCCATAGCAGAAAAATAGCTAAATGATAGAGAAGAAGAAGCAGTCAGCTCGTTCCAGCACGCGAGCTTCCCCTTTCTGGCATCTGCTCTCCTCCCGAAAATGGGTATATTCCCTTCTTTTGTCTTTTCAGCTCTCAATTTTTGTCTCCCTTGGGCTCTGTGTGTCTGTCGGCTAGGGCAACATTCCCTTTAAATATCAGGTCTCGTTTTTAGGGCACCCGACTAGGGATTGTACAGACATAAGTGAATCCCGTGTTTTTGAATTAACTGTACCGACACTCATGCTTTGGCATCGCTATGCTCTAACTTGAAAATGCTTTGACTTTTCCTCTCTGGTTCTGCACTTCCTTCCCTTCTCAGCTCTTCTTTAAAAACCTATGTAGAAGAACCACAAATACGAAAGTTTATGCTGTTTTTGGCCAAAGTTTTCAAGACTAAGGATATTTAGCTAAGAATTTGCAATTAAACACTATTCATGCTAGTTATGACCTAAAATCGACACACTTTGACATTTTAATGCACATTTTCACCCAAATAACCACCAGAATAACTCTCTTTTAGAGAGTTATCAACCGTACAAAATTAAAACTGTTATCCGGCCAGGAACATACAACTTGATGGATTTGAACGGAAAACAACTTGCACATCCATGGAATGCAGAGCACCTCAAAGTATATTATTAATAATTCGAGTCACTGTTTTGCAACCCTAACTCAAATTAGGGACTGGTATTGTAATCGTATTGTTCTAATCTTGTAATCATGTTGTTATATATATCAGTGTGCTTGATTTGCTCTTCCCGTTCGAATCGAGTATGCCGTTATGTAATTCAAATTGCAAGCGGTGAGACATAAAATTTCGTAGGAAACAAAATACTTTTTTCCTTTTTTCTCGGAATAACCTTCGAGTTACAGTAGGAAACAAAATATTAAAAAATAAAAAACAACACAAAGAAAAGGGTCGTCAGTTCCGCTTGCGCTTCTTTTCCATGGATAGTTGCCGCTCCAGAAATGTAATGCAGCGTTCCATGGCGTGGCTCTCCTCCTCGAAGACAGACTTTTCTTTCTCCAAACTTTCTTTCTCCTCCTTTAGCTCTCGGCATTCAAACTCGAACCTTAGGGATGTTACAGTTGACTCTTGTAGTTCGTTCACAAGCCGTGCAACCTCCTGCTTCAGTTTGATGTCTTCTCTTCAGCCCTCCGGAGATCAAATCTTGACGGAGGAGCAATGTAGCATGGGTAACGAGAAGACGAGGGTTCCCCCTCGTTTATTGGAGAAAGGTTGGGACCAGCTGGCGGGGCCGGAGGAGTAGATGGGGAAGAAGAGGAAGACGAGGAATCTTCGGAGTGATCAGAGGAGATCTCTATGAAGGTGATCGGAGGACCGTTTACTTCCTCAGACATGATGTAAAGGGGGTTTGAAAAATGAAATGAAGGAAGGCTGAGATCGTTGGACGGAATGGGATGAGGAGGAGGAGCCACGAGTACGATGAATATATAGGAAAAAGGGGAGAAATCGAAGCGTTAGTGCGTCAATCAGTTTAATCATGAAAACTGAAACGACGTCTATATGAGTTAAAGGCGACCATGCACTCGAATTAATTGAAGGACACAATTGAAATGAATGAAAAGATACGATTTGATACGAAAAACTGTACCATAAATTTAAAGGCAGTTACATCACGGAAATCGGAGGACAAAATCATGATTACGATTTAATATTTGTGCGAGTTTGGAAGATACAAAAAGGACCGAATTGACTACCAACTCCTCTCTAAGTAGTGGTCGGAGGATTGAGCATGACATCATCATTTATTTGAATTATAGTATAGTTCTCGACCTCGTCGCCAGTCCCAAGGTGGTGTTCAAATTCGACAATTTTGGGGAGGGACGAAGTGCCTAACTCCTTGTTAGGGTCAAAATCAGACGTCGGTTCAGATGTTCTCTTTATGGCTAACTCCCAGTCACGGCCTAACATAGAGACGAGCTGGTCAGAATCAACTTCTTCGGCGAATCGCTTGAGCCATTCAACTGCATATTCGAGACCGTAGTATTCCAGATCTTTCTCGAGCTGTTTGAACTCGGGGAACTGTGACATGACCTCATGTAAAAGATCGAAATTGCTTAGTTTGGCTTCAGTATTGGCAAGTCTAGATTCCGTGTCCGTAAGCTTCAATACGAAGTCTTCCACAACTTTCTCGGACTCACAAAATATAGACTCAATGTTGGCCAAGTGCAACTCGGTCTGGCCAAGCTTCGATTTGATGTCGACCAGCTCGACCTTAGCTAACTCTCTTTTACCGACCTCAGTATTTAAAGCCTCTTCTGTAGAGAACTTCAGTTGAGATAGTTCGATTTCGATCAACCTTCTCTTTTCGATCTCGTTATTTAGTTCGTCAAGTTCTTCTCTCAGTTGAGCAGTAAGCAGTCTAACTTGATCGACCTCAGCCTTCAATTCGGAATTTTCAGTCTGCAGTCAGGACACCTCCTCTTCCAACTTGGTCTGTTCGACCTTGTATTTGTTACTTCAATGATGCATTTTTTGGAAGCAGCAAGGACGTTAAGGGTCTCGAGCTTAAGGGTTTTAAAATCTTCCTTCTCCTTGGCCAGAGCCTCCTGTTCCTTCTGAAGTTCTTCCATCAGAGTGTTGTAGTTGGCGAGTTGAGCAGAGCAGACGTTAGCCTTCTTGGTGGCCTCTGCAAGCTTAATCTTATTTTTCCAACCAGCTGTGACAAGAAAGGGCTAAGGCCTGAGATTTAAACTTGGAAGTTAGAAAAATTGCATATAGAGGATCTGGTAAAAGGAAAAAAAGGGAAGTCAGCTCACCTTGGCGACACATGTGGTTGCCTGGTAGCAGAGTTCATGGGCTGAAGAAGGGTTGATGCTCCGAATATACCTCTATGGCTCGCCCGAACGAGTAGGATAAAGTTTGTCTGCGAGTGACAAGGTTTCACTCACGCAGAGGTCGGTCAGGAAAAGAGGAACTAAGTCGGCAGAAATGGGAGGAGTTCCAGATACATCAAAAGAACATTCCCCCATGTTGGAAGGACCTACAGCGAAACCTATGTTCTCCATTAAAGGGGAGCGAGACTGAGCGTCGTCGAGCTCCTGAAGGGATATTCCAGGTCTGCCTCTTGGGGCTTTAAATTCAGATCTGTCTATGTGGCTTCCGAGTGGTGAAGTGACAACTTTGGGAAGAAAATAGGGGATAGCTCCTGCAGGAGGATCATTGGGTTGAGCATTAATTGGATCGACCAGACCTTCGTCACGT